GCGGTGTATAGATGATGGATGGATATTATTCTAAAGGGTTGATCTTTCTGCCCATGTGGTGCAAATAAACACAGCAATGTAAAATACTGTATTACAAGTAGAAGTCCTGAGTGAAAAGTCCTACTTCAGTCAATTTATATAAGTATTAGCAGCAAAATGTAGCTAAAGTATTAAAGTAAAATAACTGGTTTGGTCCCTCTGACTGGCATATTATTAGATTATTAACAGTAAAGCATCAGTGTGTCAGCAAGTTTAAACTACTTTATATCCAGTTTTATATAGAAGGACAGCATGATGAATGGGAGACAAAGGAAGAAAAAAAACAAACTGAAGATCCACTAGTCTGTTTTCAGGTTTTGGAATTTCTCTCCAATCTTATATATTTTTTTGGTGAGATATTGGTTCGGGTGCTTTAATGACATCATGTGATAAGTTTAGAGGGGGGGAAAAAATCAGTATTTGGTGAAGGCGACTGCTTTAAGTAAGATGTCACGAAGCATCTTAAAGAACGCCTACGCAGATTCAGACTTGCAGGGTTTCCCACGTAACAAACACAAGACATCAGTGGTGTCGGCTGGCAGGGTGGGGCTTCCTGTGTCAATAGTTATTCTTCTCCAGCATCGGCCTCCAGTTCTGACACGCAGAGCTGAGTTATTCCAGTATTGCAACCTTTAGCCTGTAAGTAGTTTTACAGTGTTCGGCGAGGTTGGAAGTGAGCTGGTGTGCTCGAGCTGTGGCAAGTGGGGAGAGAGGCAGGGATTTGTAGATTCTAAGTAAGTTGGAAATTATTCTAAATGTTTGACACAGAGTTTTTAAGGGTTTAATCAATGACTGGAGAGGAGCTTTAGATATAATTAAACTCAAAAAGAGATTATTTTCATGGACGATAACTTTGTGTCTTCTCTCTCCTGTAGTCTGGACTTCATCCTGTCCTCTCTGTCTCTCTGACTCTGGAGCTGCATGTTTCTAACCTACAACCAGTCCAGTGTTTATGACCTCCTGCTTGTTGTCTGTTTGTCTCTGCTATCCCTCTGCTTTACAGACGTCTGCCCTCCCTAATCCTGGCTCTGCTGGAGGTTTCTGTTTCAAGGAAGTTCCTCATCGCAAACCTGCTTGCTCATAGGGAATCTTCATTGGGATTTCCCCGAATCTTATTTCTCTACTGGAAAGCACTTTAGCTCAATGACTGTTGCTTTAAACATGCCGTGTAATGTGCTGTGTAAATAAGGGCGGCCTGACT